GAATACATTTGGCAGAAATTTACTTATTTTGATGTTTTCTGGCACACCTTTTGCTGCCCGTACGCGATGAGGCTGTCGCAAGTGGTTGGGTTGACAAGAAGAAGGTTCCCTTTATCACAAGTCAGGTAAGACAGAGTTTGTAGGAACGGTTTTACTGCAAGCAGATGAACTGTAGAAAGGCTGTGGGATGAACCAGCTGCCAGCTATGTCTGCACGTCAGTTGTGTCCGTGGGTTTGTGTGTTGTTGTGTAGCGTTGCCTGCGTGATATGTACTCTGCCGTCTGCGAACAATCAAATGAGGCGGGAGTATCGATTGACTTCGGACTCATACGCTTATCAGGCGAGTTGATCGACAGCGTAAGAAATACCGATATCGCACGGAGTGGATAATTATGCGTGGGCGAAAGGCCTTGCAGAGCGAGGTCAGTATGAGCCACCGCACAACGACAGTTCGTTCTGTATAATAGTTGATAGAGTTAGGTATGGGAAAAGTTATCTCGTCGGGTATGATGGATGGTCTTGGGCTAAATTCCGAGTATTTATCTATTTTCGTGTCCTGGCCCTAATCCTAGCCCCAACCCTAACCTTAATCCTAGTCTTAATTTCTAGTTTAATTTAGCGCAAGGTTCCCTGAAATACCGTTACCTATTCCCTCGTCCTCCCTCTAATAGTTTAAAAATCTCTGACTTTTAACTGGAGTCTTCCTCCACTAATTGAATCGTTGCCTTAAATTAATTCCCACTTTCCGAAAATAAGGCACTCACTCAAGAGTTTCACCCTACCGACAATGGGAATGCAAGATAACTAGGTGCATATGACTAATTTTTCTGTATATTATAGCATTTTAAGGCCTCTCCACTGCTTATTTCAAATGTTTTTTTTTCTTCTTCCAGCCCCAAACAGACCCTGGCGTGAATGACAATATCGAACCGTACCAGTCTTTTCCAACTGGATGCTACTATGAGCAGCCAAGCCATCAACAAATTCAATTTCCCCCTGTGGACGAGGACAGCCGTTCTCAGCCTTTCCACTCCTCCCAGTCGACTGTAGTCACTCTGTCCAGTCAGGGAGCCGAGCGTGGCAGTGGCAGTGGTGGTGGTCTTGAGCCAGCCTACTCCGATCGCCAGATCTTCCACGCTGTTCCACCTCTTCCGCCTGGCAGTGGTGCTCTCATCAGTACCACCCAGTCTTTCATTTCCGCATCCACTCAGCAGTCAGCGCCCGTTATCAACTGCAACCCTCAAGTGGTGATGCGGACTAGAACTGTTTCGTCGGGTCGCCGGGTCGCTATGGACGCTGAAGTAAGCACATGACCGACTGAATATAAAAGTGGCTGGGTCAAACAAGAGTCTGTATGCTATCTTTTACTTAAACTTTACTTTTATCAGGATGCTCTAAAATCCGTGGCTTGGAGGGTTGCCAACTGACGGGATAACTTGGACACCGCAGTCAG